AAACAGGAGCATTTCTGTTTGATCCTGGAGGTAATTGGGAGCGTCACACTTGCATTTTAGGAAATCGGACACGACTGAAAAACGACTGAATAACATTCTCTTCTTTGTGTCTACTTTTTTTTCTAATAAATTTTTATTTGATACCTTTTATTTTTTTTAAATCACCAAAATTTCGCTTCCTCTTTCCTTTAGTATCCTTCCTTCTCTCAGAGAGCCATCCTGTATACCAAAATATTTCTTTTTTAATAGTGTTTTATTTTTTCCCCAATTATATGTCAAGATAATTTTCAACATTCATTTTTACAAGATTTTCAGTTCCAAATTTTTCTCCCTCCCTCTCCTCTCCTCTTCCTAAAATAACAAAATGGTTTTTTTTTTAAAGAAAGAAAAAGAAGAGGAAAAAAATCAGCAAAACTAATCAGTACATAAAAAAAGTCTGAAAATATATGCAATATACCATATCTGTGGATATGGACCTCCCTCCTAGGCAAAAGGAGACACTTACTTTAGAAGGCTGTTGTGAGGGATAAATGAAATAACATATTAAAATTCTTTGTAAACTTTAAAGGGAGGGGGAAGGAGAAGGGAATAATCATGTCTTTAGTGCCTGTTGGATGTCAGGCACTGTGCTAAGTGCTTTACAGATTTTTTCCTCATTTGATCCTCACAACCTAAGAAGTAGATGCTATTATTATCCCTATTTTACAGATAAGGAAACTGAGGCAGACAGGTGGAGTGACTTGCCCATGGTCACACAACCGGTTAAGTGTCTGAGGTCAAATTTGAACTCAGGTCTTCCTGACTCCACTCCCACACTCTGTGCACGATGGCACCACTTAACTGCTTCACTATACACATACTAGCTATTTGGTTTTTTTTAATCACTTGTTTTGATTCTTCTAGGTACTCATGTGGAAAGTCCATTTTTTTCCCCCTTTAAGTGTCCGCTTGTGGTTGTTGTGAAATTACTTGCTCCTTCTTTTGGGGGGATCTCCAGATCTACAATAATTTTTGATGCTGATTGATGTTATCTTTGATCTACTCAACTCTCCAGCTTTGGTTCTTGAATTGGAACTTTGTGCCAGGACAGCACATGCTTGTGAGCTCTTTTGGGTGGGATGGTTGGCTCTGTTTGGTCCGGGTCTGGGTCACCTGGGTTCCAACATTCTGGAGTTAGCTCTTCCAGTCCACCATCACCCCCTCATCTCCCTGATCTTTGAGATTTAGAGCAGAGGATCTTGAGGGCCCCTTCTGTTGTCTCAGGACAGAATGTTAGGGAACTCAGAACCCCTGAGCCTAGGGTGTCCTGGTATGAGTGCTGCTACTGCATTCCCTGGAGATTCCGAGGTCTCTGTCCCGGGGATCTCTGACCACACTGAGTCTTTCTTGGGAGAGGGGACATCCTTCATTCCTGTTACCTCTAGAATGGACTGTTGGAGGCTACGGTGTCTCTGACCTGTTCCTGGTCCCACTGGTGTTGGCTATGTTGGCAGCCCCCTTTCTTATTGCCCTATGGCTTCTGGTTGACCCTTCATGCAATTATGAGATAGAAAAAGTCACTGTAGTTTCTCACTGTATTTCTTGGTCATTATTTGTTCTGGTGCTAATTTTAGAGTTTTGTTGGAGAAGGTTTGTGGGAGCTGAGCCATCTCCCTTCCATTCAGATGCTAAGTTTAATTTTTATTTAGTATTATTATTATTGGTATCTCTAGTGCTTAGTACTGTGCCTGGCACATCATCTTATTGCTGTTCAGTCATTTTCAGTTGTGTCTGACTCTTCATGATCCTGTTTGGGGTTTTCTTGGCAGAGGTACTAGAATGGTTTGCTATTTCCTTCTCCGTCTCATTTTGCAGATGAGGAAACTGAGGCAAACAGGGTGAAGTGACTTGCTCAGGTCACACAGCAAGTAAGTGTCTGAGGTGAGATTTGAACTCTGGAAGATGAGTCTTCCTGACTTCAGGCTGGGCACTCTATCCACTATACCACCCAGCTGCCCATTAAGCACATAGTAGGTGCTCAATAAATGTTTACTGATTGATCGGTTTACATTGTTGTAATTATTATGAATATTGCCTTCCTGGTTTTGTTCACTCACTTTGCAGCAGTTCCTCTTGCTTCTCCACATACATTTCTTACAGCCCAGTAATATTCCATTATATTCATGTTCCACAATTTATTCAGCTCTTCCCCAGGTGATGGTGTTCAATTCCTTTATTTAGTCATAGTGTCTATGGTGTTATTCTAATTCTGCTTCCTTTGCTTTTATAACATGGTGTATTTTTCTGTATTTCTTTATATTCCTAATTTTTATCGGCTCAGTAACATTCTTCTTTATCGGTATAACTTCAACCACTATTCTCCATGACCGTCACAATCGCATTCATATAGACTAGTAATGTTTGTCATGTACTTTATGTGTATTATTTCAGTTGAGATTGACAAAAAATCTTATGAAATGAGACTCAAAGAATAAGTTGAGTGCCGATTTTCCAAACTGGCCAACGCAAGCCCCAAAGCAACCTCCAAATCAAAGCAGGATTTGATGTCAGGCTTGCAGACTCTCACTCTAACACACTACCCATTATACCATGCTGTCTCATCTAATCACTGGATGTATTGTTTTGAGTTTTTTCTCACAAATTAAAGAGCCATGAATGTTTTTTGGTACTGATAGATCCCTTTTCCCACTTAGTGATATCTTTAGGAGACAGTCTTAGTAGAAGAATCACTGGAACAAAGTGTATATGGTTGAACTATAGTTCCAAAGGACTCGTGAGACACATACTAGCCATCTGCCGATAGAGCTGATGGCCTTACATTTTCTCTTCTCTCTCTCTCTTTTTCCTTCTTTTTTGGACATGGCTAATGTGGGTATATATTTTGCATGACTATTCATATTTATAATAGGTTTTGTTTTCTAGTCTTCTCAATAAATAGGGGAAGGGAAGAGAAAGGAAGATAATTCAAAACTCAAAATAAAATTGAACAACAGAGTATATAGTTGGTTTTTTACAAATCTTGATACATATTTCCAAATTGGCCTTCAAAAGGTATCATTTATTTAATCTGGCCAACAGTATTATAGAATTCTTTTTTCCCAATAGCCTCATCAACATTGAATTTTAATAGACTTAACTATTTTTGCCAATTTGATGAGTCTTATGTTTTTCTCAAAGTTGTTTTAGTTCACTTTTTTTTGACTGTAAGTTTGAGCAGTTTTTCGTGTGGTTATAATTTTTATTGCCTTTTGAAAATTGTCCACATCCTTTGACAACTTGCTTATTCACTGGGAATAGCCATTACTCTTATAAATTTACATCAGTCCCTTATTATGTATTTCATATGTCAGACTTAAAATAGCATTATTTGCAGCAAAAACACATTTTCCCAATGTTTCCTTTTTCTTCTTTAGTTGGAAGTTTTTTTACATATAAAAATATTCCTTTTTTATGTAATCAAATCAATGTATTTTTGTATATCTTTTTAAAAAACATTTAATTTAAAAAAAATTATCAAAGCATTGTTTACTCCCTCCTACCTCCCCACTAGTGAAAACATTTACAAAATAAAGTAACAGAAAACCATTGTAACACACAAGTCAAGCAAAACAAATTCTCGCATCCAAAAAATGTATTTCATATTAGACCATTACCTCTCTTTCATGAGGTAGGAAGCATTTTTCATCACCAGTCCTCTGGAATCATTGTTGATCATTGTGTTGATTAGAGTTCTTAAGTTTTTAAATTTTGTTTTTTTGTTAAAACTAGTGATGTTATGGTGTAATTTGTTCTCCTGGTTCTGTTGATTTCATTCTAGGTTTATACAAGTCTTCTCTGAAAACCATTCTCTTCATTTCTTAAAGCAAAGTAATATTCCATTTCATCCACATATTGTATTTACTTATCCATTACCTAATTCATGAGCACCCCCTTATTTCTAATTCTTTCACTATGAGCCTTGGTTAATTGGGGAATGGCTCTTATTCTTATAAATTTGAATCAATTTTATATACATCTTAGAAATGAGACCCTTATCAGAGAACCTTTCTGCAAAGATTTTTATTTTTCCAGGTAACTGTTTCCTTTCCATTCTTAGCTAAATTGGATTTGTTTGCATAAAACCTTTTAAAATTCATGTAATCAAGTTCATTTATTTTGTCTTTTTTGATCTTCTTTATCTCGTTTAGTCATGAATTTTTCCTTTATCCGTAGATCTGAAAGGTAATTTCTTCCTTGTTCCTCTGATTTGTTTTATGATGTGATGTTTTATATCCATGTGGAGCTTCCTGTGCTATCCGGTAGGAGGTGTTGATCTAAACCTATTTTTTGCTAGATCATTACCTAGTTTTCCCACCAGTTTTTGTTAAATAGTGAGTCCTTCCTCCAGTAGTTGGAGTCTTCGGGTTTATCAGACACTAGACTAGTAGTTTCATGTACTTCTATATGTTGTATACCTAACCTATTCCACTGATTGGGTGCCTTTTAAACCAGTATCAAATTGTTTTTGATTATTATTGTTTGTAGTATAGTTTGAGATCTGGTAGGCCCCTTTCCTTCTCACTTTTTTTCGTTATTTCCCATGAGATTCTTGGCTATTCCTCTGGATGAATTTTGTTATTATCTTTTCTAGTTTGATAAAAGCTGTCCTTTAGTAGTTTGATTAGGATGGCCCTGAATAAATAAATTTAGGTAATGATGTCATTTTTAATGTACTGGCTTGACCTATGCAATTAATGTTTTTCATATAATTTCTTCCATTTGATAAATTTTTGTCTTTTCTCTACAGTTGAGTGAATCTTTATTTAATTACAATTTTAAATGACTTTTAATGCTTACTTCTTTGATCTAGTTAGGATTTATTATATATCATATGAGGTATTGACCTAAATTGATCTTTCCCCATACTGGTAAGCAGTTTCCTAGCAATTTTTAACAAAAATGATTGAATTCATTGAATTCCTTAACTCAATATTTTATAATTTTGACTTTGTATGCTAAAATTAATCTCATAGACATTTGCTGGTATTTCTGAATTCCCTATTGTTTCATTCTTACTGAAGGTGTCATGAGAGCTGGCCTTTGAAGGCTTGATTAAGAGGGGGAAGGAAGATGCTCTTAAGTATGAAGGACAGCGGTAATCCCGGATCAGAAATAGAAAGGCATGGAATGTATTACAGCGAATGGAGAGTACTGCCTTAGTGAGGAGACGGTCACATGAAAAAGTCTAGAAGGTGGCTGGGTCGTAGAGGGGACTGTGCATTTCAGCCTAAGAAGCTGCTTAGACTTTATTCTGTAGAGAACAAGGAGAAACTGAAATTTTTTGGGCCGCAAGTGTATTATTAGTTCTGGAAATACAAATCATAATTGTTTTTGAGGATCAAATAGGAAATCTTCCATTTGTCTTTTGGAGTCTTTCATGGGGTGGCCTTTTCCTCTCCCATCTCTCTTCAACATGGACATACTTGAGGCATTCGAGACAGTTCTGTCTCGCCTAAGAGTGTCTTCTTCAAGCGAAACATCTTCACTGTCTTCAGTGACCTTTGTGTGGAACGGCTTCTGTTTTCCTTTGATGATGCTGTAAGATATGTTGGGTCAAGGATCAAATCAGGGATAATGGATCCAAAGGTGATTATTAGTGGAAAGTCAGAAATGTTTAGTTAGGAATCTAATTTCTTGATGTTAAAAGGAATGAGAGGTAACTACTGTGATCAACCTTGAACCCTCCCTTGGGGGTCATAATAAGCAACAGAATACTAAGCATTGTGCACCACAATTTGACCTCTCTATGACATTTCTTATATTTTAAAACATTTTCCCCCCAAAGAGAGTGGAGCTAAATAGAACAGGTAGTAAAACAATATCTTCTTTGTTAGCTCTATATGTTCTTTCAAATCTCAATTTTTTCAAATTGATTCATTTTCATGCTAGGTTCTTTGTGGGAACATACAATGTGAATGGCCAGTCCCCCAAAGAATGCCTTCGGCCTTGGCTAAGCCAGGATGTTCAGCCTCCAGATATATATTGCATAGGGTAAGTATTTTTATCGCAGAAGCCCCTCTGAATCTTTACTTTGGACTCTATGGTGCATGTCTGTGAGCTAAGACTTTGGAACTAATACAGAGGGAATTTTAAAGTGACTAGGTCCTTAAAGGTTTCTTTTCTGTTTATTTGCTGTTCTCTGTCATGTAACACATTTCCGGTATCATTAAGATTGAACTACGCTTGTTATTTTAATGCTAATATTTATTATTTCCTTTAACCAACTGCAAAAGTCATTATTCTTGGAGAGTTTTGTTCCTTAGTTGTCAGACAGTTTGCATGCCACAAACTAATTCTATCGTGGAGAAGGTAGAGTTAGAGAAAGCCATAGCAATCCGCCAAATCTTTATTAGGCACCAGGCTAGGTGCTGTGGAAGGGACTAGCAGAATGAGGCGATGTGTTCTGAAGCTGGAGATGGAGCTGACAGATCTGAAACAAGTATGGAACGTGCCTTGTGTTTTATCCTTTTCTAGGGTCTAACTTGTTTCATCTCATTTCTGGCAGGTTCCAAGAACTAGATCTGAGTAAAGAAGCCTTTTTCTTCAATGATACCCCAAAAGAGGAAGAGTGGTTTAAAGCTGTAACTGAGGGTCTGCATCCAGATGCCAAATATGCAAAAGTAAGATGGGGGTCTGGGCCCATAGAGTTTTGGCTCCTAAAGTTTTGTGTCGGCATCCAGGAAATGATAAGTCATCTTTCCTACATTTTACATGATCTTTAACTTGACTGAGTGACCAATGGTCCTATTCCTTTTTGTTCCTGGTACAGAAGGGATATGTAACGCTGTTAGAGGGAAAAGATTCAGGGTTCTGGTTCCAAGGTAGGCCAGTAGCACTAGGAACCACGAGCTGTTTCGGTTCTCAGCATACTCAATACTATGGGAGGAAAGAGGAAATATTAGCAAGTCAAAGTAGAGGTTGTCCTCTGTCATTTTTAGAAAAGTGATGTATTGTCATCTACATTGTTTAGAAATGATTCTTTCTCCCAAGAGCTAGGACAGATACATTATTTTGGACAAATCTTTGACTAGATGGCTTTACCCTGGGGGAAGTCAATTCTTCCTGCCCTTAGCTTTTATCTAATATGCAGGTGATTTCATAAGTTTGCATGCCTCTTTTACAAATGCAGACTGCAAACCCTCCATAGTCAGTCTACGAGCATTTTTTTTTTTTTTTGGCTAGGCAATGGGGTTAAGTGACTTGCCTCGGGTAACATAGCTAATAAGTGTCAAGTGTATGAGGCCAGATTAGAACTCGGGTCCTCCTGACTCTAGGGCCGGTGCTCTATCTATTGCACCACCTAGCCGCTCCCGAATCTACAAGTATTTGCTTAGCATTTACTAAGTGCTAGGCACAGTGTAAGCACAAAGAAAGGCAAAACATGGGGCAGCTAGGTGGTGCAGTGGATAGAGGACTGGCTCTGGAGTCAAGAGGACCTGAGTTCAAATCTGGCCTCAGACCCTTGACACGTACTAGCTGTGTGACCCTGGGCAAGTCACTTAACCCCGATTGCCTCACCGGAAAAAAAAACCAGAAACAACAAAACAATCCTTGCCTTCAAAGAGCTCTCATCCTAAGGGTTGAGAGAATGTGTGAACAACTATGGACAGACAAGATGTACACAGAATAAAGAGAAGGAAATCTCATGGCAGGGCAGCTAGGTGGTACAGTGGATTGAATATCAGCCCTGGAGTCAGGAGGACCTGAGTTCAAATCTGGCCTCAGATGCTTACTAGCTGTGTGATGCTGGACAAGTCACTTAACCTTGTTTGCCTCAGTTTGCTCATCTGTATAATAAGCTGGAGAAGGAAATGGCAAACCACTCCACCAAGAAAACCCCAAGTGGGGTCACAGAGAGTTGGACGTGACTGAAATGACTGAACAACAACAATAATCTTATAAGCAAAGAACTAGCAGTGGAAGAGGAGAAAGCAGGAGGAGGGCCCAGAAAGGACCTCTTGAAGAAGATAGGATTTAAGCTGATTCTTAAAGGCAGCCAGGGAAATTTATGAGGGTAAGATAAGAAGGGAGAACATTCCTGGCATGGGGGTCAGCCACTGAAAAGGCACAGAGTCAAGAGAAGGGATGTTAAGAAGGAGGATGTCAGATTGTTAAGAATGTGGAGGGTAAGTCAAGTGTAGAAAGACTGGAAAGATAGGAAGGGTCAGATTGAAAAGGGCTTTGAAAGCCATAGAGAGGCGTCTATATTTGATCCTGGAGATATCAGGGAGCCACTGAAATTTATGGAGGAGGGAAGGATTATGGTTAGGCCTGCACTTTTAGAAAATTCACTTTGGAACTGAGTGCAGGATGGATTGCAGTGGGGAGACACTTGGAGTGGGGAGACCAGTCGCAATAGTCCAAGCATGGGGTGATGAGAGCCTCCTCCAGGTTGCTGAGTGGAGAGAAGTCTCATATACAAGAGATGCTGTGAAGGTAGAAATGATGAGTTTTGCCAACCTGCTGGCTATGTGGAGTGAGTGTAAGAGAGAAGTCCACCATGATACCTTTGTGTTCCTGGGTGATTGGGAGGACCACAGTGCTTTTCAACAGTTACAGAATGTTTAGGAAGCAGGGAGGCTTAGGGGAAAAGATAACGAACTCTCATTTGGACATGTTGAGCTTGAGATGCCGATGAGATATCCAATTCAAAATGTCCAAAAGTCAGTTGGTGACGCTAGACTGGAGCCCAGGAGAAGACTTGGGCTGGATTTATAGATTTGGAATCATCTGCATAGAGATGATATTTGAACCCATGGAAACTGATGAGATCACCAAGTGTGATGGTATAGAGAAAGAAGAAAATGAGGCCCAGGATGGAGCCTTGAGGGTTTCTTTCCTCTTGTTCTCTTCTTAACTCTATAATATGGCTTCCGACTTCATCATTCCACTGAAATTGCTCTCTCCAGAGTTACCAGTGATCTCTTAATTGCCAAATCTAATGACCTTTTCTTAATTCCAAACCTTCGTGACCTCTTTGTAGTATCACCTTCTTCTCCTTGACACTCTCTTTTCTCTCTTGGCTTTTATGATACTACTCTCTCCTGGTTCTCCTCCAACCTGTTGGACTGCTCCTCCTCAGTCTTCTTTGCTGGATCTTCATCCTGGTCAGTCTTCATAACCATGGGTGTCCCCCTAGGCTTTGCCCTGGGCCCTTTTTTCTTCTCCCCTATAATATTTCACTTGGCAATCTCATCATCTCCCGTGGCTTCAATTATTCTATCTATGCTGATGATTCTCAAATCCACTTATCTAGCCTTAACCTCTCTCCTGACCTCCAGATTTGCAACTCCAGTTGTCCACTGGACATCTCCAGATGGATGCCTATAGATGTCTTAAATTCAACATATTCAAAACTGAACTCATTCTCTTTCCTCCCCAAACCCTCCCCTCTTCCTGACTTCCCTATTGCTGTGGAGGAGACTGCCATCTTCCTAGTACCTGAGCTTTATCCTCAATGGCTCACTATCTCTTACCTTCCCTACCTAGTCAGTTGCCAATTCCTGTCAATTCTCCCTCTGTAACATCTCTCCAATGTGCCTCCTTCTCTCCTCTGACACTGCCACCACCCCAGTGCAGGCCCTGATCACCTCACACTGGGATGACTGCAGTTGCCTTCTGATTGATCTCCCTCTGCCCCAGTTTATTCTCCACTCACCTGTCAAGTTGATCTTCCTAAAGCAAAGGTCTGACCGTGTCAAACACTCTTCCCCATCAACTCCAACTCAGTAAACTTTAGTGGTTCTTTGTCACCTCCAGGATCATATGCAAACACCTCAAAGCCCTTCATAACCTGGTTCCTTCCTACATTTCTAGTCTTGTACTTTACCCCAATGTCAGTGACATTGGCTTCCTTGCTGTTTCTTGCACAACACATTCGGATCTCCTGACTCTGGACATTTTCAGTGGCTGTCTCAAAATCCTGGAATTCCTTCCCATTCATTCATATCTCCTGGCTTTCTTTCTTTCTTTTTATTTTCTTTTTCAGGCAATCAGGCTTAGGTCACCTGCCCAGGATCACCAGCTAGTAAATGTCTGAGGTCAGATTTGAACTCAGGTCCTCCTGACTCCAAGCCTGTTGCTCTGTCCATTGTACCACCCTGCTGCTCTTGGCTTCCTTTTAAACTTCAGCTAAAATCCCACCTTCTGGGGCAGCTAGGTGGCGCAGTAGATAGAGCACCAGCCTTGGGGTCAGGAGAACCTGAGTTCAAATCCGGCCTCAGACCAAACCCTTGACACTTACTAGCTGTGTGAACCTGGGCAAGTCACTTAACCCCAACTACCTAAATAAATAAATAAATAAAAATAAAAATAAAATCCCACCTTCTGTAAGAAGCGCTTCCTGAATCCTCTCGATTCTAGTCCCTTTCTTCTCTTGATTATCCCCAATTTACTTTGTATATATTTTGTTTATATATAGTTGTTTGCATGTTGTTCTACCTTCCCCTATTAGACTGGGACTCCTTGAGAGCAGGGACTGCTTTGCATCTCTGTGTCCTTAGTGCTCAGCACAGTGCCTGGCACATAGGAGGCACTTAATCAATGCTTGTTGATTGACTGACTGACCTGACTCCAGGTCCAGCCTTCTTTCTACTGTACCACCACCAGCCTGAGAAGAAGCAGATGGGTCAGACAGGTGGGAAGAGAGCTATGAGAGAGCAGTGTCCCAAAAGCCTAGAGTAGCCAGGAAGAGCATATGACTAGTGGTATCATAAGCTATAGAGGGAGGTCAGGAAGGATGAGGACTAAGAAAACACCATCATATTTACCAATTTAGACATCATTGGTGACCACAGAGAGAGCAATTTTCGTTTGAAGGATAGGGTCAGAAGCCAGATTAGGGAGGCTTTAGAATGGGCTGCTAGGTGGCGCCATAGTACACAGAGAGTTCAGCCTAGAGTTAGATTCATCTTCCTTGAGTTCAAATCCAACCTCAGATAATTACTAGCTGTGTGACCCTGGGCAAGTCACTTAACCCTGTTTGCCTCAGTTTCCTCATCTGTAAAATGAGCTGGAGAAGGAAGTGGCAAACTATTCCAATATCTTTTCCAAGAAAACCCCAAATGGGGTCATGAAGAATTGGACACAACTGAAAAATGACTGAACAACAACAAAGAATTGAGTCAGAGGAATGGAAGGGGAGGCAGCAGTTGTAGACAGCTTTTCCCAAGTATTTAGCTGAGAAAGAGATTAAAGATAGAGGATGACAGTTATCAGCTATGGTAGGATCAAGTGAAAGTTTTTTTGAGGCTGGTGTTTGTAGGCAGCAGGGAAAGCATCAGGAGGTAGGGAAAAATAATGATGATGATGATGGCTAACATTTATGTAGCTCTTTAAGGTTTGCAAAGAGCTTTACAAATATCTCATTTTATCCTTATAATAACCGTGGGAGGTAGGAGCTATTGTAATCTCTATTTTACATATGAAGAAACTGAGGCAGGCAGAGGTTAATTGACTTCCTCAGGACTCAATTGCTCAGTTTCTGAGGTTGAATTTGAACTCAGATCTTCCTGACTCTAGGTACAATGCTTTTTTCATTGTACCACCAGCTGCCTGGAGTGAGAGTGGAGATGATAGAAAGGGCAGTCTTTTGGACAAGTGGTGGGGTGGGTGGGATGTATGTAGAGGGATGAGCCTTGCTAAGGAGAAGGGGCCACTTCATGACAGAAAGGGCTGATGAAGAGAGAGTGAGGAAGACTTCTGAGATCTGTGAGATGAAGAGGAGAGGGAGCTGTTAACAAATGGCCTTAATTTTTCAGCGAAATATGAACCTTCTTCAGCTAAGGGTGGGGAATCAGGGTTGCTCCAGGAGATCTGAGGAGAGATGAAAAGGTTTGGAATATTCATAATAGCGAGGGGTGGAGTATTTAATAATGCATGTAAAGGGGCTGCTGTGACCAAAATTCGTCACCTGGTAACTCACCTTGCTGTGCCAAGGCTCTCCAGTGCCAATGGTCCTTGGACTTAGACCAATCAGGCACTGGTCCCATACGGGAGTGAAACAGTTTCAGCTGGGTGGGAGTGCCAGAACTTTGGCTCATTGGAGTAGTATCAAGATCAGTGTCACTACCATGCTGTCATGAGGCCTAGGAGCACCACCATCCTAACAAAGAAAAACTTCACAGCTGTGACCTTGTCTTTCAGGTGAAGCTTATCCGACTGGTTGGGATCATGCTGCTCCTTTATGTCAAGCAAGAGCACGCGGTGCACATCTCAGAAGTTGAAGCTGAGACAGTGGGGACAGGAATCATGGGCAGGATGGTGAGTCCATGGTACAGAAGGGCAAGGGTCTGACCCTTTCCCTGGGCAGTGATTCACAGAGGTCTTAATCCAAGCCAAGGTGTTTTCCTAATGTGGCTTATGGTGCCGTGTATGTCTTAAAACACAGAGTGAATTGTGCCCGCCAGTAAGGTTAAAGGTCACCATGATTCACTGCAGTGTTTTGATGCACCTCAGACTCTGTGTGCCCCTCAGCTCCCTAAACCTGCTGAATATTCTTTTTTTTTAAATTTGTGATGCAGTTGGGGTTAAGTGACTTGCCCAAGGTCACACAGCTGGTACATGTCAAGTGTTTGGTCTGAGGCCGGATTTGAATTCAGGTCCTCTTGACTTCGGGGTCAGTGCTCTATCCACTGTGCCACCTAGCTGCCCCTCGAATATTCAGTCCCTTTCATGATAATATAAGCTTCGATCTACCTTTATCTTTTTCCCCCACCTCAGCTGATTGTTGTCTTTTAGCTCATCAAGAGTGTTGTGAACATTGCACTGAAGACATGAGAACAAAAAGTGGGGAAAGGAGGCTTGTTTATTGAAGGGGATTTCCACTGACCTTTAAGGAGAACATTTTTCCTCCCCTTTTCAGATTGAACTTGTGATCTTAATGTTTGAAACTTCCTTCCCAGTTGTAGATCAGCAGTCTTACAGTGTATGTAGAAGGACTGTCTGAAGTACTGTGAGGGGGAATGCCTTGTACACTGTTTCAGCCAGTGTATTTCAGAGGCCAGACTGGAACCAGGTCTTTTTAACTCCAAGGCTAGCCCTCCATCAGTTATCCCACATTGCCTCAAATAGAGAACCTGCGGTTTAGAAACAAAGTTGCAGAATTATAAGGGACCTTACAGTTCAGTCTAAATTGAAACGTGAATTCTGCCTAAAAGGTGCCTGATAATTAGTCATTAATTAAGCCTCTGCCTTCAGTGCTTGTTGATTGACTGACCTGACTTCAGGTCCAGCCTTCTTTCCACTGTACCACCACCAGCCTGAGAAGAAGCAGATGGGTCAGACAGGTGGAAAGAGAGCTACAGGAGAGCAGTGTCCCAAAAGCCTAGAGTATTCAGGAGGAGCATTTGACCAGTGGTGTCATAGGAACTCTCATTCCTATCTGAGGCAGTCAATTCTATTTTTTTTTTGTTTTGTTTTGTTTTTGGCTAGGCAATGGGGTTAAGTGACTTGCCCAGGGTCACACAGCTAGTAAGTGTTATGTGTCTGAGGTCGGATTTGAACTCAGGTCCTCCTGAATCCAGGGCCGGTGCTTTATCCACTGCGCCACCTAGCTGCCCCGCAATTCTATTTTTTAACAGCTAGAATTGTTGGGAATTTTTTCCTTTACTGTGAATTGAAATTTACCCTCCTGTAATTTCTTCTTATTTTTATTTGTTCTGCCATGTGGCGCCAAGCAAACAAGACTGGTCATATCTTTTCTTCTTCAGACATGTTCAGTCTTTTCAGTTGTGTCTGACTCTTTATGATCCCATTTAGGGTTTTCTTGACAAAGATACTGAAATGGTTTGCCATTTCCTTCTCCAACTCATTTTATAGATGAAGAAACTGAGGCAGACAGGGTTAAATGACTTGCCCAGGGTCACACAGCTAGTAAGTATCTGAGGTTGGATTTGAACTCAGGTCATTCTAACTCCAGACCCTGCACTCTATTCACTCACTTCACCACTTAGCTGCTGTCCTTCAAACTAACCTCCCTAGGTTTTCCCACCAATTGAAGCACATTTCTGAATCTGCTCATCACCCTCTTCTGGACCTACTTACTTCTAAATATTCATTATACAGAGTCATGTCCAGAGTACTCCTGATGTGGTCTAGCCAAAGCAGCATTAAGTTAAACCCTATACTTCCTATACATTCTTGCCTGACACATCATTCTGCTTATTCATGTTGGGTTTATAGTCCACTTAAAACCCTCAGGCTTTTTGAATTAAAAGTGGGGCTTTTTATTTATCCCCACTGAAACTTATTTGTAATCAATCAATCAGCAAGCATTTATTAAGCATCTAATATTTCCAGGTGCTGTGCTATGTGATAGGGATGCAAATGCAAAAGCAGAAAAGCTTTTGTCCTCAAGGAACTTCCATTCTCACAGGGGATACAATGTGGAAGTGTTATCTATGTACAAAGTAGAAACAAGTTAACTTGACTGTCAAGGAGTTAGAGGTTTAGAGGACTAGAAAAAGCCTCCTACAGAAGATAGCACTTGAGCAAAGACTTAAGGGAAATCAGGGATTCTAAAACCCAGAGGTGAGGAGGGAGAACATTCCATGCCAGCGTTCTGGGACGCAGGGAATTTTAAACTTTTTTTGTGTCATGGCCCTGTTGGCTGTCTGGCGAAGATTTTGACCTCTTTCTCAGAATTGTGTTTTTAAATCATAAAATAAAACACATGGAATTACAAAGGAAACCAGATGTATCAAAATATAGTTATCGGATGTTAATTTCACAGTCCCCAGGTGAAAAACGCCAGTGAAGAAAGGCAGCGTTAGAGATTAGAGTTTCAGTTCTAGTTCTTTCTGGTTGGTGGCTGTGTGCACTTGATCAAGTCAGCCTCCTTCCAGGTATCTAAAGATCTTCTTCTGTAAAATATGGATAATAATACCTGCCCTACCTGTATTAGGAGCAGCAAGTTGGCACAGTAGATAGAGAGCTGGACCTGGAGTCAGGAAGACTCATCTTCCTGAGTTCAAATGCGGCCTCAGACACTTACTAGCTGTGTGATCCTGGGAAAGTCATTTAACCCTGTTTGCCTCAGTTTCCTCATCTGTAAAATGAGCTGGAGAAAAAATGGCAAACCACTCAGTATCTTTGCCAAGAAAACCCCAAATAGTCTCACAAAGAGTCAGACATGATTAAAACGACTGAACAGCAACTTGTAATGGAATTATTTTGATGATCAAATCAGATAATACCTATGAAAACTTTTTGAAAAGCATAAAACAATATTCAAAGGTGCAATATTTCTAATACTGATACAATCAGCTGTGATTTATATAATATTTTTTGGTCTCTTTTATAGGGTAATAAAGGAGGAGTGGCAATCCGGTTCCGATTTCATAATACAAGCATCTGTATTGTGAATTCCCATCTGGCAGCCCACACTGAGGAGTATGAGAGGAGGAACCAGGATTACAAAGACATCTGTTCCCGAATGCAATTCAGTCAGGTTGATCCAAATCTTCCGCCTCTCACCATCGGCAAACATGAGTGAGTGGCTAATTTTGCCCCATCTACTGAACCACTGATGTCCATATTCAGTTCTGGTCTTCTGGAAAAGGGGGTGGGGTGCTGACTCCTGCAGTGGCATAGCCAGCTCACACATATTCACGTACAAAGCTTCTGTTGCAAACTGTCAATCCTGGACTTATCTCTCCTCACTGTCTAGTCAACTTGGGGCATCTCTAACTCTTCATTATTTGATGTGTCCTTAGGAAATACAGACTTATATCAATTGGCTACCCCAAAGCAAATCATATGGTAGATCCCAAACCCAGTTTTAAAAGCATTTGTTGTTTTGAATTACCTGTGTCCCTCTTCCTCCCCATCAGTATTGATCATTGAGAGCGTTTGCTTTGGTTCTATTTATCTTGTAGCTCAGCTTCAGCTGCTTAGATTATTCTGTGTTAAGAACTTCCCTATGCTTCTTATCCTTTCCCTCCAGTTCACTTTCCTTTTTTTTTTTTGATCTGTTTTCTTTTTTAGATGCTTTTTATTAAATGACAAAATCCCACTAGCCATGTAGACTTTTGGCGGATGTGTGAAACTTATATGATTTGTTCTTGGAAAGAGGCAGGCTGGTGCGACCATGGGGGTGTCCACCAGGGGGTGCACAGAGCCCCGAACCTTCGTGTGTGTGTGTGTGTGTGTGTGGGTGTGTGTGTGTGTGTGTGTGTGTGGGTGTGGGTGTGTGTGTGGGTGTGGGTGTGTGTGTGGTGGGGGGGTAGGGCTTCTGGAAACTGACAGGCTGGCTTTCATTCTCTAGGGAACCTGGCCAGGAGTGTGTCTTACCAGCCATGCTCTTCCTTCCTGTTGGAAAGTCAGAGTCCCAGATTTGAAGATGCAGCTAATGTCAGTTTGGCTGCTTTGTACCTTGTGGATGCTTTGATCTAATTTGTGCTCTGTGTGTGTGTGTGTGTGTGTGTGTATGTATGTGCGCGTGCTGCTGTGCTAAACTGCCTAGCGAAGTGGTAGTTGGCTTCTCCCAGAGCAGTCAGGGTGTTTACAGGGTGTGTGGCATCATCTGGAGTTTTCTGTCTCCTTCATACCCAAATGATATTTGTCATTAAACATTAACACTCTCCACGGAGGAGTGCCAAATGGGCAATGTTTTCTGGGAGCCGAGCCCTGGAAACCAAGTCTTTCAGCACCTTCAGTGAACCAGAATATGTGGGGGCAAGGGGCTGCTGCTATTTGGTATCCCCTGGAGATTTGCACAAGCCCTTATTGAAAGGATCTTTTTGGCCTCTTTCCTGGGGATGAGGTGCATGATCTTATTCCTTAGACTTGGGTAAATAACTCCCCCTGTGGGGGTAGGGGGAAAAGAGGAGGGAGGCTTTTTCATTCTGAACTCAGAACTGGAATGGCTGAGCAAGAGGTGTAGACACACGGCAAAGACATTTTATGGCTAGCTGAATCACTTTCCCAACCAGCTTCCCCACATCTTGCTCATCTAGGGCCTTCTGAGGAGAGCCCCAATTGGGACAGGTTACAGTCCTGCCTAAAAATCCTGTTGCCCTTGTCCTCTGTCCTCACAGTGTGATCCTATGGCTGGGGGACCTCAACTACAGGATAGAAGAGCTGGATGTCGAAACAGTGAAAAAACTCATCGAGGAGAAGGCATTTCAAACCCTGTACACATACGATCAGGTACAGAGAGCCACCAGTAGGCTGGGCAGGCGGCCCACTCACCTCCGGCCGTAACACGAGCGGTGATGCCCTCGGACTCTCGAGAACCTCCGAGGAGAAACGCTGGGCCTCCGACGTTGGGACTCACCAGTCTGGCACATGGGGAGACTTTTCCCCATCTACTCTATCTCTCTCTTGTCAAGTATTTCTCAGCTCTTCCCCAGATTCTTGGGTTTTCTTTGCCTCTTCTCTCATTACTTCATTGGGAGCTGAGACTTTCTTAGGAGGGAAGAGGCTCACTCGGTGATTCACATTGATTTCTTGAGCAAGCTGCTTCCTCGCTTCCTCTTCCCCATACTAGGTGGTGTCATTCTTTTCTGAGAACTGCCATTGCTGAGAAAGCTTTCTCTACTTCCTCCATGATCCTCTCATGTCATTTGTCAATTTCCATCCCCTTTTAACTTAAAAATCCTTTGCAGGAGCATCAGTCCTTTGTGCATTTTTCTGCCTTTCTGAGGTTCATACATTTGAATGTTTTCATGAATTGGTTACATGATCACCAAATTCTGTTTTGGAAAAAAAAAGATCCCTTTTTTCTCTATTAGTCTCAGAATCTTTAATGTTCCCCTTTTTCCTCAGAACTTTATTATTCCAATATCTGTTCAAATCTTTCTATTCCTATTTTGCAACATGAAGAAAGCGACTTAGAACAAAACAACCAACTCTGGTGTTGTAATCATTAAAGAGTCACCTTCAATAGGCCCATTTTGCTTCTAACTTTCTTCACTGGTAAATTCTCTTGTTTTTCTCCAATCCTCGTTTCTAACACGAAGCCATTCTTTTCACTTGCTGCCCATCTTTTAGTTTCTTAATAGCTTCGTTTCATGCATCAAAGTCTCATTTTCATGTCTTGTCTCATCTTTATTCATTGGCCTATTTTAGTGGTCTTTCCAGAAGCAATAGCACACATCTTGTGCCTTGTGCTACTCTTTTTAGATGGCTTGTAAGATCTTGGCTACTGTGATTCAAGAAGCATCCTGCCTTGTTATTTCTTTGTCTTGTTCCCTCCTCAGTCCATTTTGGGAAATGAAAATTCAGGTGACCTGGCAGGTTATGCTATCTAGGACCCAGTCCCAGCTGCAAGAGTTATTAAGGCTTTTCTGTGGCATTCCCAATAGTGTCAGGTGTGGGATTCCAGGGACTAATCCAAAAATGCCTCCAGGTTTCACCTTTTGCTAGGAATGGGTTCTGAAAGTAGTTGACAGAGACCCGGCACTCATGGCTGCTGATGGGCAAACTATGCTGAGTAGATGCCATGAGGAGGGGGTGAGCAGTTTAGTTGTTCATGAGCTATTCACACAGGATTCCTTGGACCTAGCTATTCACTTCTTTTGTGGAATGGAACTTAAAAAGGTAGACTGGCAAATAAGCTTTCTGATGGCTCCATACTCTGCAAGTGTTAAGGCTGGGAATCTGTTAGATTTTCTTAACTATGTTGATAGAAGAATAGCCAACAAGCTCCTGTTCTCAGTGGTTGGAGTTGACCACAAATTATGGCTATCCATTCTCCTTTAATAGGAAATTTCATAAGTTAATACTAGGGTTTGCTTTCCTCCCTTCCAACAGCTGAAAATTCAAGTGGCTGCAAAAGCCGTCTTCCAAGGCTTCACAGAGGGGGAGCTGTCTTTCCAGCCTACCTACAAGTATGACACTGGCTCCGATGAGTGGGATACCAGGTAGGTTGCAGGTGATTGAACAAGTGGGAGGCATACGGACCCTAGCCTTCTTTATCCTCTCACTGAGCTCCTGTGATGCCACTGGTCTTGGCATTTGTTTTCTTTTCCTTGGTTCTCTGTCTCGTGGAAGCATACTGAGACCCCCATTAGGCTACATACATAAATACTACAGATTACAAAATACTATTAGGATAATATTTCAAAGTCCTTGGTCTCACCTGGATAAGAAATTTTTATTTGTCTTAAACAATTTTGAAGCAATACCTTGCACTGAGTCTTTTTCACCCTTTACCAATGACCTAACCACTTTCTTTGACAAAATTGAGTTAACAGTTTAAGGAGAAACTCTTATTTTCCCTTTTGATAGAATTAAGGCAGTAACTGACAAGGTCTAGGGGTCTTTGATCGTTCCACTGAAGAGTTAGACCCTCTTTCCCCATGCCTTGACCAGATGAATGTAGTGATCAACCTAGGAAAAGAAAGTCTTTGATTACTTCAGTTAATGGGAGTATTTCTTAAGTTCATCTTTGACCACCTGGAAAGGGGAATTCTCGAAAGGAATGGTGAAAGAAGGATTGCATGGCTTTAGGAAAATGATTCTCCAATGATATACAGAAAGTTAAGGGATCATTGCTCTGTTTGATGAAAGAAAATGTTAACTGACCTTTAACTTGAGCTCTTTAAACACCTTCTGTCTTATTGTGGAACTTTGCTATTGTGTAGGAATTCTATAAATAGTAACTCCAAAATGGCTTGGGAGAAAGAGATTTTCAAAGCCAGAGGGAAGCTCAGCTCACCTTTGGTCCTCTCTCTAAGCAGAAATGTTTAGAATTAATTTAACCTAATAAAAATTATTTCCAGCAGGTGTGTACCTAAATTGCAGAGTATGGAATTTTCCTCCACAGTTCTTAGCTTGATTTTAGTATTTTGTCTTTTGATCTCCAGTAGCTCCCAATAGTGAGTTTGCCGTCCATTTGTTTTGGCATTTCTCTAGGGCAGTGGTTCTCAAGTAGTGGAGTGAGGATTCTTGGAGGGTCCCTGAGGCCCTTTGAAGAAGTCCATGAGGTCAAAGCTATTTTCATAACACGAAGATGTTTTATCAATTGATATTACCTACATAGACAAAAGTTCTTGGTTGGGGAAGATCCTCAATAATTTTTAGGAGTGGAAAGGTATCTTGAGACCAAAAAAATTTGAGAATTGCTGCTCCAGGGTGATAGGATAAATCCTAGCCATCAGTTGGGACTTGGATACTCCCCATAAGAATCATGGGAACTGTCCTTTATTCCCTCAGAACTCGATGTTTAATTTAGACTCTTTTTCTAATAATCAGTGAACCATGAAGGAGAGAATTAGAAAGATATTTATACAAGACCAAAAGGTGTTTCATAGTTTGGGAGTTTTGCAGGCTATGTGCTTAAACCAAGAACATAAACTGTTCTTTCTCCTCCCTGGGCAAATCCCTGCAGTTAGAATCAATGTAAACTGAACCACTGTCAGGAGAAGTAATCTGTATTATTACTACTGAATTGTTATTAAGGCACCACTATAGAGATGATCCACATGACCACATACATCACTAAGCTGGGCTCTACTCCAGTCAGGCAGTAGACAAGACAAGGGGGTAAGCACTCAGGGCTGTCTCTGAAACAGACATCTCAGTGTATTTCTTTTTGTCGCAGTGAAAAGTGCCGAGCCCCTGCCTGGTGTGACAGGGTTCTGTGGAAGGGGAAGAACATTACTCAGCTGAGTTACCAAAACCACATGGCTCTAAAGACAAGTGACCACAAGCCAGTTAGCGCAGTGTTTGACATTGGGGTAAGCGACAAATCATTTTTAGCGGAGGCATTTTCCGTCTTTCAGGTTTAATTCATTTCTAGTCATGTTGCTTCTGTCTCTTTCAATGAAAGCCTCCGGGAAGTATCTGGTCACAGCCTGTCAGCAGCAGAAGCCCCGTGGTGCCAGACACCAATCAACCTTTTATGCTGGACCTGCATGTTGGCAGAGCTGCCAGCCAAGTCTTTGCTGTTATCAAGGCCTTTGACAAGAGGGGAATGGTTGACAATCACAAGCATTGCCTCTCGAGGAACCTATTAATTATTCTTCTCCTTGGAATCTTTGCTAGTGAATTTTCAATGCCTGAGTCGTCTTCTTCTTCTTCTTCTTTTTTTTTTTAAGAGAAAATCACTGTTCTCATCCTCTGTTGTATGTAAATTTGCCTGATTCCCATGCTGTGAACCTCTCTGTACTGAAATAGGAGAAGCTGCTTCCCAGCAGAATACGGAGCCTCTGGCATTTTTCTTCCAGGTAAGAGTAGTAAATGAAGAGCTATACCGGAAGACCCTGGAAGAAATCGTCCGGTCACTGGATAAAATGGAAAATGCCAACATCCCATCGGTGACCCTGTCCAAAAGAGAGGTAGGAGGGATGTGGTCATATTTCCGGCAGCCAATTCTTCTGACAATGCAATTTTGACTCTCTTAGCTTGTTAGGGCAGAGAATTCTAGGACAGTTCAGAGCTATGGCCTCAGTCTACCAGGCTCTGGCATAGCCTTGAGAAGCAGTTGGCCCCATTGTTTACCTTGTGAAGTAGGACTATTGCTGATGGTTTGGCAAAGCTAAGTACAAGTTCACAGATTTTAGACTATGGTCAGCATTTCATCTTCCATAGGCACCAGCCTGCATAATTCCAAGTTATTCTCAGTTGCCAGGAATGCAGTATGTGATAGCTCATTTTGTAGCAGATTTGCCTATCTAATAATGCTTGGCTTTGGCTAATAGGAAAATGCACTGACTTTTTTTGTTTTTGTTTTTTCAATAATGAAACTGATGGTATTGAGAAGGGAAGCAAAAGAAAATAGTGTGACACTGTGGGAGCAGGTAGGGGAAAGCCTTGTTGAGATAAACAATTTGCTACACATAATCCTCAAAATGGATCATCTAAATTGGTCAAAGAGCAGCAGAAGAAACTCATGTGATACTCTAGCCTTCCCCATCAGAATTCAGAATAGCTTCTTTTAAAGCTGTTGTAGAGGAGGCGTGTTGGGTGAGCTGGGCTGACTCTCTCTCTTGTCTCTCTCTCCTGCAGTCACTTTATCTGGTGAAGGCCAATTTAGCATGAGGTCTTTGCTTCTTGTTAGAATGGAGTCTGATATTAGCTGGGTACAGAAAGGTTAAATTTTCACACAGCTATTCTTCTACTCTGGGTTAAACTCAGAAATCAAAGGGCTGTTGCCACTAGTAAATGATTAATAAAGCCAAGGTATTGGCCCACCGAAGATGGTCCCTTGTTTTTTTCCAAGAACTTGAGAATTATGGCTTTGGGGATGACTTGACAGGGTAGCTGAGGAGAAGGTGCTGGTGCTCACTGACCCCTAGTCTTCTCCTAGTTCTACTTCCAGGATGTGAAGTACATGCAGCTGCAGGTAGAGTCTTTCATGATTTATAATGGGCAAGTGCCCTGCCAGTTTGAATTCATCAACAAACCTAATGAAAATTCCTACTGCAAGCAGTGGCTGAATGCCAACCCCAGCAAGGGATTCCTTCTGCCTGGTAAGTCTTCTTTCTTACCTGGCTGTGCAAATGAAGAGAAACAGTTCTGTTTCCAAGGGTAGTAGAGACAGGAAGGTAGTTTTAAAGCCATGTCATCACAGTCCTATAGAAGCTCACATTTAGATATTGCTTTGGTTTAGGAAGCTTTTCCTGGGCATTACCTGATTTGATCCTCAAAACAACCTCAAATCAGGTAGGGCAAGACTCCATTTTACAGATGAGGAAACTTGCTGAGAGAGGTCAGTGACAGGTCCAAGGTCATACAGCTGGTAAGTGACAGAGCTGGGGCTCCTTCCTAGGCCTTCTGCCCCGAGACATGGTGGCTCACTGTTGTGGCTGCTTTGTACATTCCATGGGAGTGCCACATACATGTGCTACAGCAGCCACAGGAAGGAGGCAAGCAGAGGATAGTTGGTGAAACTGCCACTGCTGAGAAATGTCTTCAGTGGTTTGCTATAATCAAATCTTAGTTATCTACAGTAGTATAGAGCTGTCAAATGAGGTGAATCATCTAGAAATCTTTATATCTGGCTATAGGATACACAATATTATTTTTCTTCCCTAAATGTTGTTTTTATACCATATTTATAGTGCTGTGTGGCAGAGGAATGTGGCCCAGGGATTGAACATTTTCCATGAGTAATTCACACTCTGATTATTAAGAGGTGACTATACTCACTACTAGCTTGGTATTGATTCCCATCTTACTTGGAGAAGAGTCTGATCCACACATTTACATTATATCTATACTATATCAATGAGTACTTGTTACCTAAAGTGTTGGATTATTTGATGTGTCATAATACTGCTGTCTTTTCAACTAGATTGTAAGAACTTCCTGGGCAAAAGTCATTCTCCTTAGTGCTTAGCAGTGTGCTGTGGATACAGTGAAGTTCAGTCACTACTTTCTCTAGATTGATTTTATTTCACATGCTGTCTTTTGATCCCCCATTGCCTTATATCACCCTCTCTTTGTAGATTCTACTGTTGAGATTGAATTGGAGCTGTTTGTTAATAAAACCACTGCTACAAAGCTCAATTCAGGGGAGGACCAAATTGAAGACATTCTGGTTTTGCACCTGGACAGGGGGAAGGATTACTTTTTATCTGTGTCTGGGAGCTACCTGCCCAGCTGTTTTGGTTCTCCCCTCCACACTCTGTGTTACATGCGGGAGCCCATCCAGGACTTGACACCTGAAACCATTCAAGAACTGGTGAGTGAACACTTGAGACGGAAGGGCCCCTGCTCACAAATGAAGTAATCAGAATTGAGGAGTGGCAAAAACCACCAGATCCCCAAAGTTGGAAGGGACCTCAGATGGG